CCTGTAGATACACCCTGCTGTCCTTGCTGTGAGAGTCGCCGCTCGCTGGGGGCAGGGGGACGCAGCTACTTGCCCACTAAAGCACAGCACGTCCTGGGGGAGGGGGGCATTTTTTACGTTACAAAAAAAATTATGAAAGAAATCTCTATGCAAAATGACGAACATGGTCCGGTGGACACCTCTCGCCTCTGTTTTGTTGGCTGTTTCTCTGTAATTCCGTGTTTTCCGCTCTCACCTCCCTGCATCTCTCCGTCTTCATCTCCCCTTTCTCTGCTGTTCTCCCCGTCTGTGTCTCTTTCTCTGCCTCTCTTGTCTCTGTCTCGGTCCCGGCCCTCCTGCCCCAGGCCACCAAGGCTGCATCAAAAGTGGCAGAGCCAGCCTCCGGGCTAGCCCGTTGTGGCCTTGCCAACGTGCCCTGCCAGGCCGCCCTGCCCCGCCCCGCCCTGTAGTTGCTCTCTTGGTAGCGGCGATGCTCCCTGCATGTCTCCTCAACCGTGGATCGTGACGACTCGAAATAACAGAAACAAAGTCAATAAAAGTGAAAAATAAATAAATAAGTAAATAAATAAATAAAAATCCTTGAACAAATCCCAAAAGGCTTGGAGTCCTAGCCCAGATCTCTCTTCCCTTCGAGCCTTTTTATTTGAAAAGGAAAACGAGAAAAGAGGACAGTTTAAGGGGACTGCGGGCGCCTGGTCTGGGTCCAATGACTGGAGCCGGATGGCGAGGGCGCCTAGGTCCCAGCTCCGAGGCCAGGCCTGATCCCAGTCTTGTGTGGGGCTGGCTGCCCCCAAGGGGCCCAGGATCCAGGATCAGGCCTAGCCTTCGAAAAGGTCTTCCACAGTTTTGGTCTCCTCCGCCACTTTCAATGTGTCGGTTCGTTTTGTTGTTTTTTTTTTATCCCCCTTTCTTCTTTCCTTTCTTCCTTCCTTTCTTTTTTGTGCACATGATAAATAATAATAAATAATAATAATAATAATAATAAAATTTTGTATGTCACTCCCCATGGCTCCAGGTTTGTCTCTCCCTGCCTCTGGGATAGGCCTGTCCTTGCACGGACGGACCCTCAATAATTCTATCAAGGCTCCAACTCCCCTCCCAATGCGACTTCCTCTAAATTCTTGGCCAAGACTCCCTAGATTGCAGCTGAACTCTGACAATGGCCAGGAGAAGTCCCTCCCTCAGCACTTCCCCCCTCCCCCCCCAGGTTGTGGACCAAGTAGTTTTGGCTTTCTGGAACTTCAGAATAACTTTGACATGACCCTTCTCTACCAAATCAGCCTTGTCTTACTGCTAGTGTCCTGCAACCACACCTTGGGGTGCAAGTTCCCTGAATGAGCAACTTCTAGGGCTCTTTCTTCAATGGTGGGGGTAGCGTAGGGTCCTTCTTCTCTATGCTCCCCTAATGGGTTCAGCTGCTCATTGGCCAGCTGCAATTTTGTGTCCCCTAAGAGACCACAGAGGCTGCAAACCCTGGCCCCAAGTTTCTCCTTTCAGCACTTATTTCTAGAGCCTAAGACCTCAAGAACCACTTGAGTGTTGCAGAGTCCTGGGACCCATCAAGCAGTAGCTGAAACTATTGGCTCAGACTTAGAGTCTGGTTGTGCCCAGAGAGGAAAAGCTTAGGTGCCCTGGGCAAAGGAAGACTGTGAGCGGGTAGGTGGGTCAGTCGCTTCCTGCATATAAAGGGATTTTTGTTCTTCTGTGTGAGCCTCTGTGTCCTAGAGGGGGTCCAGCAACAAAGAAGAAAGAGTAGTAATGGTCTTTTTTCCTTGTGTAGCTTTGGAGCTTATCCTGGCACTCGCTCTGGAGACCAGGCTGGCCTCAAACTCACAGAGATCCACCTGCCTCTGCCTCCGAGTGCTGGGATTAAAGGTGTGCCCCACCGACGCCCAGCAGTGATGGTCTTTTTAAACACATTTGAGCTCAAGCGAGAGGGAAAGATCTGTCTGTCCTTGTGTCTGTTCCTGCTTAGAGAAGGGATGTCTTGATTGTCCACAACTGTCCTGCTGCATCAGAGAAACTTAGAAACATTCCCTACCCATCTCTTAGCATCCTGTCAGCTCCAGCTCTTTCCTGCTTGTCAACACTGATGTGGTACCATCGTTCATCTGCCCTCCACCCCAAGAGATTTTCCTTCTGAACTCTAGGAAGTGTCTGCAGCTAAGCTTCCTTCCCGGGCTCTATCTAATCTTCCAGGATTGACTGAGAGCTGCAAACAGGATCTGGAAGCAGGCTTTAGTCTGGGCAGTGCCTTCCAGACAGCTCCTCCCTACCAACATGCCAGAGACCTTTACCTAGAACAGTTTACTCAGACTTATTCATATCACACCACAAGGGGGATACACAGGACAGCCCCCCCCCAATATACCAGCAAACCATCCACATCTTCCTCTCCCTTCTCATCTGTGACACTATCTACTCTCCTTCCCAGGAACTAGCAATCCTATCTCACTCTGCGGGTGCTTGCCTTCTTGGCCTCCAGTCTCCAGAAAGAACAGTCTTGAATCTCTTTGGCCATACTAACGAATCTGTAACTCCAATCTAAGAATATCTACTGATTTACACTTCCCATGAAGGTATTAGTGCATTATGAATGAAATAGGAAAACACAGAAACAGAAGTTCTAGTATTTTTTCTCGATCTTAAATGTATTATTTCAAGCACCTTAGCAGATGTGCCTTCTCAGAGCTTCCAAACACCCAGCGTAGAACTCCTGGTTACTGTTTAATGCTCACCAAGGGGATTCCTGAAAGCAGACAGGACTCTGGATTAGACCAAAGGTCAGTGGGTTGGTCATGATGCTGCCCTAGCTAGACCTTGGATGACTGCTTTTGCCTCCAGTGGCCTTACCTACCCATCATCAAAAGGCAAGTCAGGGACATTTGGGTGGATAGCCTCAGAATCTCTTAACTTCCTTTTTTACTTCTGGTCTTCCTCCCACTGAAATAGACAGCAGAGGCCACACTATTTACTGTGGCTGTTTCCTGGTGGAAATCTCACACTGTGTCCTTCCTGGTGCTCCGGTTTCATCTTGGAATCAGCCTGAAAGCCCCCAGTCATGCTCTGGAGTCTCTGCCAGCTCCCTAGTCTAGCTGCAGCCCTTCCACCCACCCAGACACCAAGAGGCTCTGGTCTCCCACTTTCAGTTTGCTTTCACTCAATTCTGTCTGCTAGTCCTGCCCCCCCTCATTGGCATAGAGTCCCAAGTGATGTAACCAAATGTAATGGTTTAATAGAGGGGAAAAAGTGCCCCGGATTGGGCAAACAGTTGGGGGCAAAGACATGAGGTACACTCGAGTGGCTAGAGTATCAGGTACCGGGGGAGGAACAAGGAGAGAAAACGTCAG